CGTGTGTAGAGGCTCCTCGTCTATCGTGGCATTGTTTGGGTGGTTCAAAAGTGAGTGCTTCCAACTCCTGCACGTAAATACCAACGAGCCCGAGTTCCCCAGGGACGGTATGTACACATGGCTGGCGGTTGGATCCATCCTTCCCATGCCCTCATATATCGGAAAGACCTTCGATTGTGGTACTGCGGCACGTGTGGCTTCTTCTTTCAGGCTCAGCTCAGAGGCTTTGCACAGCCTTGTAAGCCAGGTGCCATATCGAAGGCCAGGCGCGAACATCTTGATAGAATTTCTCGCGGCCTGTTTCACAAGTGCTGAGCAGAGTGTGTGGTATGACTACGTCATGGCGGAACTCCTGGAACTCCTCCCCTCCCTCCCTCCCTTCTTCCATGCCCCCACCCGCCGAACCTCCATCTTCCCCTGCCTCTTCCTCCCCATCCTCCCCCTCCCTCCCTCCTTCCGTGCCTCCCTGCGTTTTCCGTCCTCTCTGATACCCCCCCTTCCCTGAGGAGGAGGAGGAGGAGGAGGAGGAGGAGGAGAAGGAGGAGGAGGAGGAGGAGGAGGAGAAGATAAGGAGGAGGAGGAGGAGGAGGAGGAGGAGGAGGAAGAGGAGGAGGAGGAGGAGGAGGAGGAGGAGGAGGAGGAGGGGAGGAGGGGGAGGGGAGGGGGAGGGGGAGGGGGAGGAAGTGGAGGGGGAGGGGCAGGGGGAGGGGCAGGGGGAGGGGGAGGGGGAGGGGGAGGAGGAGGAGGAGGAGGAGGAGGAGGAGGAGGAGGAGGAGGAGGAGGAGGAGGAGGAGCTTTCTCGCAGACGCTCCGCACCCCCCTCCCTCCAGCGCCACGTCTTCGGGGGACCGCTGCCGCAGAGCCGAGGCCGGTGGCGACCTCGCACTCGGGGCCGAGAAGACGGTATCCTTGGCGTCGGCAGGCTCCCCGCGGGTCGTCGTCGTCGTCGTCGTCGTCGTCGGCGGCGGCGGCGGCGGCGCCGTCGTCGTCGTCGTCGTCGTCGTCGTCGTCGTCGTCGTCGTCGTCGTCGTCGTCGTCGTCGTCGTCGGCGCCGGCATCGTTGTTGTCGTCCTCCTCCTCGTCCTCGTTGTTGTCCTCGTCATCGTCCTCGCCCTCATCCGCCTCATCCTCGTCGTCGTCCTCGTCCTGTCCTCGTCGTCGTCCTCGTCGTCCTCGTCCTCGTTCTCGTCGTTGCCAGCGGTGTCGTCGTTCTCGTTCTCGTCGTTCTCGCCATCGTCGTTGCCAGCGGTGTCGTCGTCGTCGATCGGCGTCGGAAGTTTGTAGGTTTTGGAGGGGTGCTTGTGGAGGTTCTCGCCGCCACGGCGGGACACAGTTCGAAAGACTGACCCAGACGGGCGGCGTGGAGTGCCCCGACGGCGGAGCTGCTGCTAGGCGCTGCGATCGCGGTTGCCTCGGCGAGCCTCGGGGGGGAGACCACGCGGGCTCTGGTGCCGTTCGGCAAGAGGTGGACCCCAGGAAGGGCCCAGGCACAGATTTTGATAGGGCTGCGTCGTCGTCCTCCCCCATCCTCCTCCTCCTCATCCTCATCCTCCTCCTCATCCTCCTCCTCCTCCTCCTCCTCCTCCTCCTCTTTTTTCGTGTGTTGATCGGACATAAGAAACTAACATGCTGCGTGCTAATCTTCCTCCTCCTGGCCTGACCTGCCCCCTCCCTCTTCCCCTCCCCCTCCCAAAAAATGTCCTCCCCCTCCTCGCCCTCCCCCCTACTGAGGTCGCGAGGAGGGGGGGATGGAGGGTCGGAGGGAGGGGGGAAGGAGAACGACGAGAGGGACAAGGAAGGCTTCGCGGCAGTTGTTCTGAGAGATTCTCTGATGGTCGAGTGGGTCTCGGTCGTGAAATGTTGGTGTTTTCGTCGGCTTCGAATGGTGTCGGGAGGCCCTTTCTAATGTTTTGCGGAGTCGGGGTTCGCAGGCTTTGGGGCCCCTCTGTCGCGCAATGATTGTCCCCACTCGCCTCACCCTCCTCCGCCGCCCGCTCGTGTGCCCCTTCGAGGCGATGGCCAGAAGATCCCTCGCCCGTGCATGTGTTGTGTTGGCGCATGCTTCCCGAAGTATGTCTGGACGCGATCTCTGATACGCTGGACGTTGGTCGAAGGGTTCCGCGTGCTCTCTGGCGCGCTCGGTGCATGCGCTCCCGCACTTCCGTATGCCCCCTTTTCCTCCATTGCCGACGCCTTCTTCCCCCACGAGGGGTCAGGTTGAGGGCGAGTCAGGAGGGGGAACAACACACAAACACAATTAATCGTCGACTCCCAGGAAATATGGGAAAAAAGCGAAGTGGGATGGAAGACCAAAACCCATAAACTATTGGAAAATATGGGGGACCCTGCTAGGTGTGTGTGTATTGATGTGTGTGTGTGTCCTTGGGCCCCTTGAGTGAGGGACGGAAGGAGAAGGACATGGCAGGGCGGCAGTTGGGCCAGGGAGGGAGGAGGCGCAGGGGGAGGGGCAGGAGGAGGGGGGGTGATGAAGAACGGGGACGAGGCGGAGGACGGAACATCAGGATGGGAAGGAGGAGGGGGGGTAAGAGAGGAGGAGGAGGGGGAGGAGGAGGATGAGGAGGAGAAGGACGAGGAGGAGGAGGAGAAGGACGAGGAGGAGGAGGAGGAGGAGGAGGAGGAGGAGGAGGAGGAGGAGGAGGGGGAGGGTGTTGAGGGTGCTGACTAAATCGAAGGGGTCACCCCGATCGCTCGGCACAACGGCCGCAACGCCGTTACCCAGGCGGATCTATCACCCAGCCGTCCACCCATCACCAGCCACGAAAGACCACCCGAAACCGCCAGGCTACCGAGGCCCAAGGCCCAACCCAAGACGGAAGCCCACAGCCCCCCCCCCAAAGAGGCCCAGGTGGACGACCCGAGGGAGAGAGCCCCGCCCAGCCCCCTTATCACTCCTGAAGGTACAACCCGCCCTCCCTGCCCAGCGCGACGTCGGGCCCGAAGACGAGCGCAGCACCTCGCCAAGGCCGACCTCACGCAGGAAGATCAGCAGGGCGAGTCCGCCGAGCTCCGAGCGTCCCCGAACGAGCTGCTCACCTGCTCGAGCGTGCTGTACACACCTCCTTCCTTGAACTTCAGCTCCTTCTCCGCGTACCACTGGCGGACCTCCAGTAGCTTCGCGACAAGGTGCTCAATGCCGACGTCCTCCGCGCTCTCCAGGAGCTCCACGAGCAGGTCATCCAGGCACGAGCCATCGATCATACCTTTGAAGACCTCCTCGATCCCCTGCCCATCTTGCGACTCGTCAGGGCCACCAGCTAGGCCGCCAGGGCACGAGACTACCATGCCGCAGACGAGAGGCTTACCACCATCTCCTCAGATGCTCTCGTCCTTGACGTCGTCGAGAGTCTGACCACCAGCTTCGTGGCTGCTCCCGACCTTCTCCTTATCCATCTCCTTCTTGGCCTTCTTCTTGCGACGGCTTTTGGCCTTGAAGCCGTCAGCGCCGACTCCCTCGCCGATGAAGAACTCCTCAGGGCAGCTGCGATCCAGCCCAGCCTGCATGGGGTTCGGCCCGTGCTCCTTCTGCCCAAGACCGCCGCCTAGATCTTCTTGTTTGGGTGTTGGGCCTCCCAGAGGCGCCTCGCCAGCTCCCGCCTGGCATTGACCCCCACTAGCCCGACCACCGTCTCCTTCGCTTTCTGGAGCTTCGGCTTCGAGCCCACTGTCGTCCACTTCTGGCGAGCTCGCTTGGCCTCCTCCCGCTTCTTCTTGCCAGGGTTGCGGCCTATGCTCTTCCTGGCCGCCGCCTCCGTGGTGGACGCCGCCCTTGCCGTCGACGTGCCAATCCCCTGGAGGGGCGTTGTGCTCGCTGTCGTCGCCGCCGGTCGGAGAGACTCGCACTTGGTCTGCTCCCAGACGCCGAGCTCATTCTGGACCCAGCCCGCCCGGAGCCACTCCGCGAAGTACCTCGCCTTGGCCTTCGGTGGACGCCGAAGGCTGAGCACCTGACGAGTGTCCCTGACGCGCACCTTCACGCTCGAGATGTCCACCAACTCGCCCGCGATGCGCACCTGCACGATCGGGCTGTCCTTGGCTGGAGGCCCATAGCTCAGACCGATCTGCGCCAGGCTCGGCTCCCCGCCAATGGGCATCGTCGCCGCTGCTTTGGACACTGCCAGGGCCGCCAACGACGATGCCAAAGTGCCGAGGGCCCAGCCGCAGCTCAGTCTCTCTGCGCGACCGCAGTGCCGCCGAGACCCCCTCCGCCTGGGCCTCCTCGCCCACGAAGGCCCGGCGGCTCGTGGAGCCGTCGCGCAAAGGGGCGGCTGCGCCCCTGCCGGTGCCGCGCCGCCCTCGGTGACCCACCTGGGCCAGGAGGGGCTCTGGAGCCAAAGTGGCTACGGAGGAGGAGGGGGGAGGAGGAGGAGGAGGAGGAGGAGGAGGAGGAGGAGGAGGAGGAGGAGGAGGAGGAGGAGGAGGAGGAGGAGAGGAGGCGGCACGTGGCCGATTCGGGAATCCTCTCAGACGGGTCCTAGGCCCGAGGTGGCCAGCTGGGGTCATGGGAGTCCGCATGACGCTTCTCTCGCGTTGGGTTCTGGTGGTTGGCGCTCTCTCTCTCTCTCTCTCTGTTTCTCTCTCCGTCTCTCTCTGTCTCTCTCTTTCTCTCTTTCTTTCTTTCTCTGTTAATATATATATATATATATATATATATTCGTTGTTATCTCTCTCTCTCTCTCGTTCTCTCTCTCTCTCTCTCTTTCTATGTATAAATATACACATAGATATCCCTATCCGTATATATATATATATAGATCTCTCTCTCTCGCTCTCTCTTGCATGGTTCAATGGGGTGGCACCCTTTCAGCGCAGTAGGTAGTGAGGAGGAGGAGGAGGACAAACAAAAAAGGAGAAGGAGGAGGAGGAGGAGGAAGAGGAGGAGGGGGAGGACGAAGTCGGGACTCTTCCCCCCGCGCCCAGAGGGGGGGGCCGCCAGCCCTCTGCCCGCGGCTGTGACTAGCGCGGCGCCAGGGCTTCGCGGCATGGCGGCCTGGATGCCCGCGAAGAAAGGCGAGACCAAGAGCTACGAGCATACCGGCCCTCGGCCGAGACTTACCGGCCCCATAGGTGGAATGGGGCCGAGGATGCCAACACCGACATCACGGACCACAAATCTCATGCCATCTGCGAGGTGCCGCATCGCATACGCGGTACGATAAAGGCACGTCGTCTCCGCCAAAGACATTGCCATACTCCTGGCCAACTGCAGAGCCAGACCCCAGCAAGACGCCGCCGCTACAAGAGCAGACGCTAGTACCAACACCGATCACAGGATGAACCCGTATGCGGCCACCTCCATCCCAGCGGAGACCAACGACAGTCATGACTACCTGGAGGCAACTGCGGCCCGACATGCGGCATCTTACCCCGACATCGCATACGTCAAACAGGCCATCGACAACGCCATGTCGCAGGCCACACTACGCCGACGTTCGACACCGCCGACGACCGTCCCGACCACCACCGCCGCCCCCGCCGCCCCTCCCGCCGTCTTTTCCGCTGCGCCAAAAGACGCCCCCGCCGACACCCCACCCGACGACCTTCCCGCGCTGCAGCGCTGCCCGTTCTCCTCGCCCCCTCTTCCCCGCGCTCGCGGGCGCTCGGCGGCGCGCGGGCGCGCGGGCGCGCGAGCGCAGCGGCGCGCGGGCATGCGGGCGCGCGGGCGAACGGGCGCGCGGCAGTCGCGTGGGCGCGCGGGCGCACAGGCGCGCGGACGCTTAAGCGCGGAGTTGCGCGAGCGCGGGCACGCAGGCACGTCCTCTCCCCATCCCACCCCCCTCACCCCTCCTTTCTCTTTGGTCAGCGGCGGAGGCGGATGCCCACGCGGTCGATCAGCCAGCGGGCCGCGCCAGGCAGAGGCACACTAGACGTGTGGAAAAACGAGGGCGGCCGCGGAGGGTGGAACGTGGGGGGAGGCCTCACGCGTAGAATACCTTCGCCACGGGGAGCGCGCAGGCGGCCTCTGGCACCGAAAACCGGCGTACTTGACGTTGGGCGACCCCTCACCCCCCCACTCACGCTCCCCACACTACCCTCCTCCACTCGCCCATTCCTCGCCCCCCCACCCCCCTTCCCCTTCTCCTCGCCCGCCCCGCTCCCCCCTCGCTGACCTTCCTGCGCGGCCCCACAGGCTCGGTGGACGTGAGCGACGGGGTCCGCCTCCGCCGCCCCTCACCTTGCAGCCCCCCCTCTGCTGCCCGGCCCTCTCGCGGACAGGAGCGGAGGTCGGCCGTCGACCTCCGCTCGCCTCGGCCGCCCGACCCAGACATGCTCGCGTCGTGAAAAATCACGACAGGAGGTGTTGGTCAATATTCGGCCTCTGGGGCCTTCGCTGGGCCCCCGGACCGTGAAAAAACAACTCGGGGTTAAAGAACGGTCTTGTGGTGAGGGTCGGGACCTCCGGGGCACTGAAAAAGTCAAGACATCGCATGTCTGGGTCCCCGGCTGCCGCGTTGGACCAGATCGGCGCGCGCTTCTTGCATCGCCAGCGCCTCCTCGTCATCCTCCTGGCTCTGGTCGTTGTCGGCGATGTCCTTCTCCTCCTCCTCCTCCTCCTCCTCCTCCTCCTCCTCATCCTCATCCTCCCACTCCCCTCAGTATGATCATCATCGTCGTCGTCATCATCATCATCACCACCACCACCATCATCAGCATCAGCATCAGCGTCAGCATCATCACCACCACCACCACCACCACCACCACCATCATCATCATCATCATCATCATCATCATCATCATCATCATCATCATTATCATCATCATCATCATCATCATCATTATCATCATCATCATCATCATCATCATTATCCTCATCATCACCATCAAACGCATCATCCTCTTCATCATCGTTGACGGTATTTCCAGTTGGAACGCTGTGCCTTCCCATCATAAGCATCATCAGCATCATCGTCATCATCATCGTCATCCTGATCCTTCGCCTCCTCATCATCATCATAATCCTCATGATGATCGTCATCATCATCGTCATCAGCATCATCAGCATCATCATCGTCATCGTCATCGTCATCGTCATCGTCATCACCATCATCACCATCATCATCATCATCATCATCATCATCGCCATCGGCATCGGTATCGGCATCGTCAGTGTCATCGTCACCATCACCATCCACATCAACATCATCAACATCAACATCATCATCGGCATAGTCATCATCATCATCATCATCATCATCATCATCATCATCATCAGTGTAATCATCATCATTTTCACCATCATCCTCTTTGGGTGGTGGCTGGGGCTTGGGCGGTCCGCTTCGCACGGCGGCATGCGTCAAAATGCGAGGACATCCCCCCACGAGAACACTGGGCCCGTCTCGGGGGAATCGCCAACCAGCCGGCGATGTGGCTTGCGTTCGTTGCGAACTTGGGTTGTCTCGGTTCCCAACCAATATCCCCTCCTCTTCCTCACCCTCCTCCTCGACACGAACGGGCACCAAAGGTCGCATTGACGCCACATGCAACTAGATATGATTTGCCGCTGGCAGGCGGCATCAGGGGCACAGTTGTCCCACGGGTGCTGCTGATAGAAGAGGTCGATGGGCAGCCAGAACACCCAAAGAATCCCGGACCTGAGAAGCCCTGAGCGTTAGCAACCTGACACCTGCCCTCAACAGTCGCCATCGCATTCGCCCTCAAAGTTCACATCCCATCGAAATACTGGTTTGCCGACGAGGTAAGGAATTGGCCGTTCTCCTGAATGCCATCAAGAGCTACGGCATGAGAGCGATGAGTACGCCTGCCTCTGTTGGGCACCATGGGAAGTATGTCATGGGTCGGCGTTAATCATGTTAGCCAGCGTCGACCTCAAGCAGTGCGTCATTGCACCGTGAGGGTGAAAGTTTCGCGGTGTAAGGTATGTGTGGAAATCTCGTGCACATTGTGTGGTGTGAGCTCTGGATGCGACAACGGTGTTGTGTAAGATATGTGGTGCAAGCTATGTCGTGTAAGCTAGGCGGTGTGAACAAACGGCCAATGGGACGTCGACCTGTCCGTTGCGTTCGGCGCAGTACAAGGTCGGAGCAAGGGTCGATCCGTCTGCAGCATGTTCTTGTTCTTAAGCAGGTCCCACAGGGTACTCTAAATTTGGTGATCGGATCCCCGCGGAACTGTCAGAAATCGCGTCCACCCGCCCATCGCACCTGGACGGCGTGCGGTTTGGGGTCCGCTTCCCCGTACGGCCTCAGGCGAGGGCAAAGGTTTCCCCGCTTGCCACGCGACAGGCGCGAGAGGTCTGCTCCGCGCCACAGTAGCCGCCGATGTAGCGGTGGCGAAGCTCTGCACTGTCCCGCCTCGTCCTCCTCCTCGTCTTGGTGTCCCCATCCCTGCTCCCGATGTTGGTCCTCATGTGTTTCATCGTCTTCTCCTTCTTCTCAGTGTTCGTCTTATCGCGAATGCTATTAGCATTGGCGCGATTCTTCGTCTTAGGTGTTACTATGTTCATTATGCTTCTTAGTTACCCCTTCTTATCATTCTTCTTCTGCTCACCCCCTAGACCCCGAACGCCCAGAGGGCTAGTGGGAGTTCGACGCCTGATGCAGACTTGTCCAGGGCAGTTGGGCCAGAAGAGGCGTCTTCCCAGCAAAGTTTCTCAGAGGGCCGAAGACGTCAAATGGAGTTCTCTGGAGGCCCACGGAATGCTTTTTGATCGAGGGGTCCACGACGTGTCGTCGGAGGCCCGAGAAAAGCCCCTTCGGAGAGGCGGAGAGAGTTTCCTTCGGAGGGTCGAGTTCGCATAAGCGGGGTGTCACCCAACGGCGGGTTGGGTCGCAATTCCCAACAACACTGCGCTACCGAGGAACCCCACATACTTATGTCATATCCGACACATGTTGCTAACGTCACTGCTAACACTAAGACCACTGGTAGGACTACCAGCACTATTACAGGGACAGGCGAGCGGGCCGTTGGACAATCATCAAGTGGACGCTGTGTTCCCGTGCGACGAACACGACAGTCTCGATCTGGCCACGACCATTTTCGGCAACCACGAAGCCGCGCGCAGTCCAAAACGGGAGGACTAAATGTTCCAGCATTGCCTGAAAGATCTGCACTCAACGAACCAGATCGCAAACGCTTCAGCCAGACCGTGCAATTGCATTGGTCGACGCATCCTGCCCACATCTTATCGTCATCCTCGTCCTCGTCCTCTTCCTCTTCGTCCGCCTCCTCCTGCTTTTCTGTCGTCCTCTGTCCTCGTCTTTTTTCTGTGCGGATCTGTCAATTGCAAAGACTGCCCTTCGACGGAAGGTCTCCGGAACGGGCAGGCAGTAATGGCGAACGGATGATGGCCAGCGCTCCTTTCGACTGAAAGTTTCCGGGCCGTGTTGCCACGCTCTTCGATGGAAGATCTCATGGGTGCTCAGCTGCATGGAGCGGAATTCCACAGAGTAGCGCGTGGATACCAGCGGCAGGTCTCTGTTCTAATGGTAAATCGTAGCGGAGTCCTGGTCAGTGATGCGGGACAGATGTTCCCGGTCTAGCAGTGGCAGTGTCAAACCGCCGACTTCACAGTGTCAGTAAACGCTTGCGCGAGCTGCTGTAATGAAGAGAAAGTGGCGATCATGTAATGAAAATCGGTGGTAGCGGTTGTCAAGTCGAACAGGCGCGCGCGGGCCAAGGCTGCTTCGGGGCCCAGTTGGCGTGGGCTTTACGGGCGTGGCCTTCGTAGGAGTGGCATGCTGTCCTGCGGGAGATTCCGCGTCAGCGCCAACGATGCCGGCCTCGCGATCTCGATGAATGTTCGCTGGTAGCAGGCTGTCGTCTGCCCCATCTCCGTTGGCAAATCAGGAAAGACGTCTCGGGGAAAGCCACCAGAAAGAGGGTCCTGCAAGTACCTCACCAAGCACTGTCTCCTTGCATCGTCGGCGCCTCGTGTACGCGGTAGGTAGGTGGTTGTACCTGGTGTAGAGCGCCGCAGGTCACTTGTTCAGAAGCTGTCGGTGGTAAGCATGAAATGCGC